CTCTCACCGCGAGTGTCGACACCAGCGCTGATGAAGACGGGAACAATTGGTGGGCCAACCCGTGCGGCACTTTGTGTGTCGTGATTGACCACCAAATCGTGCAACTCGTCAATCCATTGCTGGCATTGCTTTTTACCCACATTTCTCTTGTCTCGCATCTCTTCCATGATTTGAGACCTCTTTGTGGTGACGGCTCGTCTCAGTCGTGACAACTCATCGGTGGTGGGCATGGATTCGTCGGACGAAGACATGGTTAGAGACAATACAATGGGTAAGACTTGATGGGAGACAATGGGCTGTGAAATGTGTGCTTTGCTTAATAGGAGTGAACTGTTAGTCATATGATTGGTGTTGTGATGAGTATGTGTTGCGAAAGTGGTGTCAAATTAAACGGTATGTGAGAAACGATCGCTATTTTCAATGCAATCCTCTAATAGTCTAATAAGTAATGCAAACATTGAATGCATTCACGATTTACTGTCAATTAAATGCATTATTTATTTACAATACAGTTATAGTGAATGCTTTCAAACATCGGTTCTGTGTTTCAAAACTTTTTATTTCTTTTTTATTTCAAAAACTTTATAAACTATTTGTAAAACTTTTTTATATAAATCTTTTCAATGGAAATATTAATTAAAAACTTTGACTAAAAAATAAATAATACGCGAAATGAATGAACAAAATATAAAATGAAGATTAAAAGGAGGTATGGATTGGTTGTGTGGTTAGGATTGGAGGGCGTCTTTGATGGCCGAATGGATGGCAAACTGGCGACTGTCTGGACACTGACCGCGGAAGTCGTCGGCGTTGAGACTGAATGTCATGACACCGCCGAAGCCCTCGTCGCGAATCCATTTGGCCTTTTGTGCCGCACTTTGTGTGGACTCATAAGTGAGCCAATGGTTGTTTCCGTAGGCGAACGGAGCGCCCGATTGCCGATCAAACGCAGCGGTCGTCCCGTCGGCCCTCAAGAACTCACAGATTTGCGAATAAGTCATGTCTTGACTGGTGCTGAGGGCGGGACTGCCGGGCGCTGTGAACCACGGAAGAGCCAATCGGAACCGTCGGCCATACGTGGGAACGCCGACCGCTATCTTACTCTTGTCGACACCCAATCGGTGCCAATAGTTGGCCGACCACTGCATGTTGAATGTGTTGAATATAGTGAAGACACGCCATTGCGGGCCAGAGAGAGGACTGTTGTGGCCGACGAAAGGCCAGTACCACTGGAATAGGTTGTAGTCGTAAGTCATGAGATTCAAGAAGTTTACGTATTTTATGAGTTGTGGTGCACTGTATGCGCGCTCAATGATGGTATACTGTGCCGCCACCGCCGCACTCAACAGTATCTCTTTGCCCATTGATTGTCGTGAATACGAATCAAATGTTTCTCTCATTTCCTGATTGTTATGACATAAGAATTTCAATGAATGTGAAAAACAAATGCCAATAAACAGGATCAATACCTTAAGAAGTAGAGTGAATGTGTGTTTATCGTTATGATGGGCAGTACCCCAGGCGGGGAACTCCCAGTCGATATCAATGCCATCCAAACTATATTTGCGGACAATTTGAAGGGCAGAGTCGGCAAACTGTTTACGATTATTCTCTGTTAAAGCCGTGGCGTGAAAACCGCCTGAAATGGGGGAAAAGTTTTATTGAAATGTTTTAAAAAGTTTAAAAGTTTGCGCAAAACTTACCGCCGATTGAAATCATTAATTGGGTTTCGCTTTTCATTTCATCGATCGTTGATTTGCAAACTCTGTAGAACTTATCGTTTGTTTCGTCGACTTTAATGGTGTTGTTTTCGATGGAAACGAAACCAATGATCAAATGTGTGCAAAGTTTGGCTTCAATTATATAATTGACTGGTATTTCAGGCTCTGCTCGAAGATAACACACTCTCATGAAGTCATGCGTTAATATAGTTTGTATTCTCATTGATATAAACATTACGAACAAAAACTTAAACATTTTAAGACAACTTTTACTTTAAATTAAAAACAATAAATTGATTAAAATATAAATAAAATAAAAAATACATTATTTTGAACCAATTTTAATTCACGTGTTAAAAATTGTCACATATTTTAGAGATATTTGCGATGGAAATGAAGTTATTATTAGTTATGAAATATGAAAAGTGAGTGACTTTTGTGTGGAAACTTGAATGAAATATTGACCTCAATTTGTTCTGCAATTAATAGTGCAGTAAATCCTATAAAAAGCTTTAGTTTACAAATAATATGTGAAAACAGGAAAGTCTAAAGTTAGACAACTGTTTGACAATAGGTTTTCATACAATCTCACCACTCGTTTATTTGTATACCTGTTCCGATAGTAAGAGTACAAATGAGGGTCTCAGAGTTATAATCGCGTTTATGAAATATATAGACGTATACAAACGGTTCAAATGTTATTCACATACTTTTACATACTGGTACTTTTTATTACTATGTACTATATGAAAAAACGCGATTATAACTCTGAGACCCTCAAATATAATTGTGTTGTCAAATAATCTAAATTCAATGTTTGAAACAATAGAAAACTTGAAAATACAAGATTTTTGGTAGTCGTGCCGACTGACCCTTACATTGCCATAGATTAGCAGAGATAAAGATTATGGTAACTCAAAAGCCATTGTAAATCCACTCAATAAGCACTTTTTACTTCAAATTTTATCTTATAAAAAATCAAACCAAACATACAATTTATACAATTCAGAGAGATTTTAATATTATTGATAATAACAAATATTTATTGAATAACACTTGTTTTGATTACCAAAAAACCACTGTACTGTACAATTCATGCATATGAATAATATAAATATAATTGATGAATATCATTTTTGTAATAATATTAGAATATTATTGTCCAACATAAAACATTAGTATACAGATAAGAAAATATTAATAACTTTTGGAATTTTTAATCCATGTATTAAAACTTATGAAAATTATTGGACGTTAAGTAATTAGTAATTAATAATTACTAATCTCAACATATGGTCATAGTTTGCCATAAAATGTAAATTACTTTTTAAAATGATAGAATTTAACATAAAAGTATAATCGACTGATGCCTTCAAGTTTATACTGTCGAGTTAATGATATTGATAAGTTTGTAAATTTATAGCAATCACTTGATTCATTATTAATTCTTAAATTTTGTATAACTTTATGCAACTATGGTTTTATTAAACAAAACACTAGTGATATTGTGTTTAATCATAATTATTAATTCAACAATAATAATATGTAAAATACAATCAAATAATATGGGATATAATTGCGGTGATAATGAGGAATGGATTCGGAGTAATCGTATAGTGGGTGGAAGTGATGTGCGATGGGGCGAAGTACCATGGCAAGTTAGACTTCGCATCCAACTCGACAACGCTGTTATGCAATGCGGAGCCGTACTTATCGATACCGATTGGGTCCTAACGGCCGCCCATTGTGTCACTTATTGTCCAAATCTTTGTTCAGATATTACCGCATATTTTGGTGAACATAGACTTATCAATGAATATAAACAGTCAAAAGCTGTGCAAATATTACTCAACAATAAGGAAAGAAGTAAACCCTACGATAGTTTGTTTGAAACTAATCACTACAACGAGATTATCGCACGAAAAGCGGCCAAAGTTATGGTAAACAATCGTTTTAATGAAAAGACATTTGAGGGCGACATCGCTTTGATTAAAGTGAATCAAAGTGTTAGATTTAGCGATAATATTCAACCCATTTGTTTGCCTAAAGTGATGGAAAACTTTGCCGGAGAGACGGGCTTTATATCTGGTTTTGGTGTCCTTAAATCGGGTAATAATTTTGTCGTTTAATTAAAATTTTTAGATTTTAATATTGTTAAAATTACTAATTGTCAAAATCTTGGTAATTCAGGCTCAAAACAAGTGCCGCACAATCTTCAGATCAGTTCGGTATCTATATTTACGACAACTTTTTGTGAATATATGCTGAGAGAGTTAGGATACGATGATGTGGTCAAATGGGGCAAACTGTGCGCCGGAGCCATAGATGGTGGTAGGGATGCCTGCGCTGGTGATAGTGGGGGTCCTCTCACTGTGAGGAGGAGTGAGGATAATAAATGGGTTTTAGTCGGCATTATATCAAATGGCATCAAATGCGGTCAACCCAACACACCTGGACTATATACACAGGTCTCCGCTTTTGTCAATTGGATTAATGCAGTCATTGCTAACGAAACAATGCATTCATAAAAGTGTTTTACAGAATCGCAAACATTATTATCATTTGTCAATAGAGTTAATAGAAACCAAATATTTTACATTTTTCAAACACTTTTAAAGAAAATATTTATTTATTAAATACTAATAAGTATCAGTTCTTAAGTATTTTGTATCTTATTTATAAATATTTTATATAAAATTTACTCATTTTATAAAACGAAAGAATATTGTAAAAATTTTGCATCTTTTAAAATACGAAAATTTTAAAGAAACCAAAGCTCTGGCAAACAATTGTGTATTTTATATTTGATAGAAGAAAAGCAAATATATTTTCAATCCTCTTCTATATGTTATATAAGAATAAAATATTTTATTCTAATTATAAAAATTAAACATAAAATGCATTTTAATTGCTTTTTAGCTGATTGTATCGCTCTTTTATTGAGACATTGATATAATAAAAATAATGTGAAACAAACAAATTGTGTCCACAATTTTTTAGTCCCTGTATTTTTTGGTCAATTTCGTGTATAATTAAAACGAGTCAATGCTTTGCTATTATTTGCTTAGAAAGAGGAGAGAAATACACACTCGAAGGAGACATCGGATATAAATGAACTAAACTTTGTTTTAAACATATCTCATAAAAAAGGTTAACTAAATGAATAGAATATATAAAAACTATTTGTAAACTGGTTTCACACAAATAATACCCTAAAACAGAGTCGAGTAATAAAAATCGGGATTTTATTTATGCAAAAAACTCACAAAATAATTAAATCACTTAATCAGTGGAAAAAATCTTTATAAACTCATTTGAATAACGAATCCTTTTTATTAATTTATGGGTATTTGCCATTCATTTACTATATTTGACTCTCAAATGAACACAAGGAGTAGAAATGATACCAATTAGTAAAATGCTTGTATCCAACGGACAGTATTCAATGATAGCCTATCATTGATAGGTAAATAGGATTTATAACATAAAGTTTGTATAAATATTGTAAAAAAGTAAAATAAGTTATTGTATTTTTTGAGTGAAAGAAAGCATATGAATGTTAAAATGCATTTGTGGTCTATAATATTGATGAAGTTTTAGCGATTTATGGGTTGGAGTGTCTCAACAATGATCACCAGATATGAGTACAAATGAATGCCAAAGACATTCACTTTGAATCCAAAGCCCAGCAAAAAGTTCTTTTGCAGCATATTATTGGTGTCGGGCTATAAAACTGGCCGTAAATGCAAACAAGTGCTGCAAAACAGTGAACTCAAACACTGCATACGAGAGAGAGAGAGAGAGAGAGAGAGAGAGAGAACAATGATAGACACAAAGCGAGAGAGAGAGAGAGAGAGAGCAGGACAGAGAGAACCGGCACAATAATCACCATAAAAGCTTCTGTTGAAAGAGAATCGTCAATAAGCTTATCATTAAGATATTTTGCAATTGGCTGTATTGGCTACTGGACTAACACCGGCATCATCTCCATTCATCTCCTGTGCTCTATTACCGTACAGTAATGTGTGTTATGAGTGGTATAATGCATAAGCCATTGCACGCTAACACAGCTTCACTATGACTGTCCAAAAGGCAGCACTACTTATAATATGGCCATTAAGTTGTAAAACTGATTTAAGTTACTTTTGTGTTCAATATATGCCGTACTCTAAGCACAGGTGATATTCTCTGTGACAAAAGGATGTGATGTCTTGTTTTGCATTCCTATCGCTAGCCGTCAGAAGCCATTCGCTGTATTCATGTGTCGATTATGCCGACCATCGGTCCAATCGTTGTCTCTTTTTTTGGTAAATCTCAAGAATTGCCATAAGTTTAGGCCATAAAAAAGTCCTTTCCTTTTTGCACAAAAGCACTGGTAATGAGATATATGTTTGTCTCGTTTGACCCTCTTTTGACATTTTCTAAATAATTCTCTATTCATTGGATTCCATATCAAATAGGATTGAATTATCTTTGCATCGTTTGCACAACACATGCACACTGGTAATGAAATATATGTTTGTCTCGTTTGACCCTCTTTTGACATTTTCTAAATAATTCTCTATTCATTGGATTCCATATCAAATAGGATTGAATTATCTTTGCATCGTTTGCACAACACATGCCTTTTTAAACCATAATCTTATCCTAATATGCGGTCCATTCGTTGTCATTGATATCTTTCTATTTATTGTAAAGTTTAATATAATTTAATTGTTATAATCTGTTTAATAATTGCATAATAATCTTAAGAAAATGCATAGCATTTTGCAGATTAAGTAAAATGTGATTACATATGAAAGTCACTCAATATATTGAAAAATATACTAAAAGACAATAAGAGTTGAGTTGTGTTTTGATTCGCTTCGACAGAGTCTTATATTTCAGTATAAGTTTCATGATTTGAATGCAGAATAACATACAATTTAAGTCCATTGAAAAGCCCAACGATTTAATGTTTATTTAGAACCCAAAAGCAGTTTATTTGATCGCAAAGAATAACACTTTTTTATTATTGTTTGAAACAAACTTTACTTTAAAATTCTGTCAATGATTGCTGTTTTTGGACTACATTTTAGTGAAACAAAAACAATCAAAATAATAAAGTATTGTCTGTCCTCTCAAACACAACCCGAGAGAGTATATCAAGCGTATTGAGCAGAGATGACAACTCTATTAGTGCTCAAGACTTGTGGTGTATTTCAGCCGTGTTTACCGAAGTGTATAAGTTACCGGAATTGATTTCGCTATGTGAAACGCTTTCGTAATTCCCTACAACGGATCGCTCAAATAAACTATATTTTTTAGTTTCCCAAAAACAGTATACGAAAACTTCTTTGTTTTGATAATTTGAGAATAATACATGTATTAAATCTATGAAAGTAATCATTAATCACGATAAATTAATCGTTGGATTAATTCTCAAACAATTAGTATTTTAGAGTTCATTTTCATGTATGAAATTTTAAATCATTTCTATGTTTTCAAAATCAATTTTTAATTAAATATTTTTCATATAAATCAATTTACTGTAAATATTGTTGGATAAATAAATAATATTACAAATAATATTACAATGTTAACATACAGTACATATTATTCGTAACAATTGTAGTAATATTACAATATTTTTAAATAATATAATCAATATTAATAATAATCTAAAATTATTAACACCTATTTTAAATCGCATAACTCGTCTCTACTGTTGAGATAATCACGAGTTCTGAACACCACATAAAGTCGGCACAAATGGCTTCACATATTCAATGGCCTTAACTAAAGCGATACACTTTGCGAAAGCATTAAGGGATAAACGGATCGCTCAAATAAACTATATTTTTTAGTTTCCCAAAAACAGTATACGAAAACTTCTTTGTTTTGTTAATTCAAGAATAATATATGTATTAAATCTATGAAAGTAATCATTAATCACGATAAATTAATCGTTGGATTAATTCTCAAACAATTAGTATTTTAGAGTTCATTTTCATGTATGAAATTTTAAATCCTTTCTATGTTTTCAAAATCAATTTTTAATTAAATATTTTTCATATAAATCAATTTACTGTAAATATTGTTGGATAAATAAATAATGTTACAAATAATATTACAATGTTAACATACAGTACATATTATTCGTAACAATTGTAGTAATATTACAATATTTTTAAATAATATAATCAATATTAATAATAATCTAAAATTATTAACACCTATTTTAATAATGAACAAATGCTTGAAATAGTACAAAATATCGCAAATATTAAATAATTATAATGAACTTATGCATGAATTTCATTTATGCATTAATTCATTTTTATAATTACAACATATTTGTGTATTTATTGCTTTTTCAAAGTTTTTGTGTTAAAATTTGTCCAAATATTTGGCAAAACTCATGAGAAGAAGATTTAATGTTTAGGAAAGACTCCGATTTCGAGGCACTTATAGTGAGAGTATGTATAGAAAGAAAGGACACATTTTATTGCTGTTGTCCTCTCAGTTGTACACTATATTTATGTTGATTTCATTTAATTTGATCTCTGGTTTTGAACTAACAATCAAAACATTTGGCTTAACTTTTGGGCTATACATTAGAGTAGTGGGGAATGCAATAAACCATAAAGCAATCAAATGTGAATGCCTTGGCTTTTATACATCTCGTGTGTATTGTTTCACTGTTCACAAGTGACTATAATAATGCAATATTGGATAACTAAGCCATACCTAACACCACTCCGACCAAACACATACATCCCAATCGATTAATCAAAAAGCCAACTATACGTACACTTTATTTCACAATTTTATTGTTATTTCTTTTATATGTAATATATGTGTATGTTTTGCAATGCGATTATGATTGAAATACAGTTATTGTTTGAGCATATAATGCATTTGTGAAGAGAAAACAAGTCACACACCGGAGAACTAACTGCAAATCACTATAACATTTACAACTACTCCGAAACAATTAAATTGTCTCTACATTATAGCCCATATCACACACAATATCACACACTTTCACATATCAAAGTATATACCGTTTTATACCAGTCTTAACAGTCAATTCTGGTTTAGTTTTTATGGCTTTAAAGTTCAATTGTGTGCAAAATATTTACGATCTGTCAGATTGTGCCTCAATATTAATATTGGTTTAATGAATTGTTTTTTGCACCGAATAGTTGTGTGCATTCATTACTGTATAACAAGTTCTTCGGTCGCCGTCTTAACGACAATTAAATTATCATTTTCTAAATGATTTCAAGTCTCTAACAATGTTTAAGTTATAAACTGATAAAAAAGTAAAACTCATTTATTAGCGAAAAACTAAATTCATTGGTTGTCATGACAGCCGTATACGAAATTTAATCACGATTTGATTTCCTGTATAAATGTTTTAAATAAAGATATTAAATATTTGATAAGACTATCAGAATTATTATAATTACTTTTTGATCGCACAAATTCTCTCTCTCTCTCTCTCTCTCTCTCTCTCTCTATTGCAATTTCTCTACTTTTCACTTCAATTCACAACTTTTATTAACAAAAAAGTTTTTTATAACACAACTCACGTCAACATATCGTTTTTACGCTGCTTTTTGC